TTAAACTATTCAATTTTGACAATATATATATATATATAACTTTTATTGATGTTTACAAAATGGTACTTCTGTTTTCAATTAATGGTATATTTTTTTTAAATTTTTCACTTATATCAAATCAAAATTATATGCTTTTCAATGCAATGAAATAATGTTATAATCAATAAATAAATGTAAACAATCAATCATTATATTGCAATTATAAATGTTAAAAAATGTTAATACCATATATGTAGAATTACCAGTTTTGCATTGTAAAACAATTTTTTTTTTTACGTATTTATTTAGCAAGTGTCTAGAATGAGTCAGCTATTCTATAAATATGGATTGATGTTATTTCAACAGAATTTCGTTATTTCACTGGATAATTAATATATAAAATATGCACTAATACATTTTTTTTTTTTATTAAGTTCTATTAACGAACAAACCCAATCATAAACATACAGTTATACTGTTATGAGTCATTTTAACTTCGATAAATATATTATGTGCATTTGCACACAGAAAATATATCATGAGTGTTGAACTCTTTGTATATCATTGTTGACAGTGAGTTTGACATATTGTTATATTACACAAATTTTGCATTTAAATTGATTAATTCAAAAAGCAATGTTTAATTATTATTGTTGATTTTATATTACTACAGTGATTTCTAAAAAAATAAAATTTTATCTATAACATGATATAAGTACCTACTTAAATGATTTAGCGTATAAGTAGGTATAGTTTTCATTTTAGAAAAATTAAAAGAAAATTAATTATTATAACACACGCTACAAGACGACTTTATTTTTAATATGTAATAAAACTTTATATACTGGTAGAAAAAATTTGAAACATGAGATACATTTCAAAAATCCTATATCAGATTAATATACATTTTGAAACAAAGATTGAGTAATTTATTATTTTGACAATAATATTATATTATATATAGTATAATCTGTACGTGTGATATAAATATTTAGAATAATAATATGTAAACATGATATATTATTGCTTTAAGGTATAAATATTGTATAAAATTTTTATTTTATAAGTACAAAATTTATTTAAGTATAATACTATAAAATGGTGGTAGGTACTAGGTATAGACATATAACAGGTTTTGAAATTTGAAAAAATATACATCTTCACTCAATAATTATTATAATAATAGTATGATTAAAAAAAAAAAAAATAAAAAAATGAAGATCTATAGTAATACAATTATCAAACATATTTAATATATTACGTTATACAATACCAATAAACACACATAATAATATATATATAGTGAGTATAATAACGTATATAATTATGTACCTACTTCAGATATTCTTTTACAAAGTATACAGAGCGATTCACAAAGGACGTTCATATACTCATTTTTCCTTTTAGTAATACATTTTTTTAAATCCTATATTTTGGAATTTTTGAATATATTTAAAAACATTTTAACATTTTATTTTAAGATTCTTGACATTTTTTGTACTATTCTTACCCAAAACATGTTTTGCGAGAATGTAATCTTTTGTTTCAAAATGAGAGCTTTTTAAGTCCTTGTTTACTATAAATTATTTGTTGGTTAACAATTTTAAACTATTGCAATGTACCTACGACCTAATTCAAAATATTGACGAGTATAATTTTTCAGCTATTAAAATATAATAGATCTACTAAGGATATTAGTTCTTTAAAACAGTTTTACAAAATTACTTAATAGTTTCAATATTGAATCTTTAATTATTACTACTTGAATCATTTTTATAAATTATAAATATTAATAACTAATTACTAATATTCTTAAATTACCTTAGCTCTCATATCTTCCTAATACATTATCGTGGATTTATATTATTAGTTTACAAAGATAAATAACTAAAAAAGTATCGCTTAATGAATTTATATTAAAAAGTAAGAGGCTCTCATTTGAAAAATAAATATTCAATTAGTATAAAAAATCTGAAGAATTTGAAAATAAGACCTTTTTTAATATATCTATTTAAAATTTCCAAAATCATCATTTAAGTAAAAAGGGGATGACCCTGGTTGGTGAATCACTCTGTATGCTATATACGCACACCTATCTTTTACTCATGAGTTTTAAATCCAGGTTTATGATGAACCGAGCGTTTACAAAGTGCAAGTCGTATACCTTCGAATTTAAATACACGTATCATAACATATGAGTATATGTGTGTGTGTGTGTGTGTGTTTCTGGGTATAATTTGTGAGTGCGTAAGAAAACCTTGGTTGGCCTGTTCGAAACTTGGAAGAGTTATTAATATTATATATTATATTATATTATGTTCTCGCCGAGCTGCCACACATACCTACTCTCGAATATTCACGCGACAAGAGATTATAATAGTTACACTATAGGTAGGTATCTGGTATCTGCGGTAGGTGTACGCAAGAGATTATAATTTTAAATCCACTCGTAAACAAGAATAAACGCAAAATTTTCTACCCGTTTCCCATGCACTTTATTTCGTCTTTCGCGGGATTTTTTTTTTTTTTACTCTTTTCGTTTTTAGTTTTCGTAATCAAATTTATTATACATATTTGTAAGATGAATCGATTTTATTATTCTACAAGTCTAGGTAATTTATCATTTATATAACAACTTCATATAATAATCGCAAAAAATATACATGGATAATGGTGTGAAATCATAAATGACGCGGCCGTGTAACACGGGTGTTAATGTCGTTAGGTATGTATGATATTTTAAGGTATAACGCAACAACGATGACAACTCTTTGGAAGGGTGTTATAGTGAAATAAGGATTATAGAAGATTACGCGTTATAATACATAATATGCCTACCGACTCGTATTGCTTGCGTGAGCATCGCGACGGATTGTGATGATTTAATTTTCTACAAAATTGCTACCGTAATACGCGAACTACACTTAACGTACGTCGATAGTTGTATAAATATTAAATATAAACTTAATTTATTTAGCGTGCGAGTGTGCGTGTTTTTTTTTTTTTTTTTTTTGCTACAGTTATACAGTTATGCGGTGTCAACACTGTTGTATTAGTAATACACTAATACGCATTAGTAAAATACGAACAGTCGTTGGAAAAACAACGTGGCGTGTTGGTAATTTTTTGATAAACACCGTGCAGATATTTAGCTATACAATACGTATCTTACTTGCTTACCTTCACTACTGCAGATGAATTTAATATAATACTAAACAGTATATACGACCGCGTCGTTCAAAACGACACGTTTCTATATAGTATAAAATATGTCATACATAGGTTTTCTTAAAATAATAATGTAACCGATATTTTTTATTGTTAATAATATTATTTATCATTAGTTACGATACATATGAATAAAAATGTACAATAGAGCGTATACAATAGCAGTGTAATAATACGAGTATAATGTATCACAGGCGTGAGCAGACTTTTCGGGGAGAGGACAAAATTATTGGTATAACAATCCGTGGTCAATAGTTATTGTATTTTTAAGGATAATTTATTAACATCAGTCACACTGGGGTGTCGCCACTGGGTGACTTCCCCACTTACGCCTCCTGATTCCTTCCCTCAAATTCATGTATTGTACGCATTGTATATTTTGTATAGAATTTAGATTTTTTTGTTTAAAAAAATATATATATCAGTCATGATTCAAAATTTAAGATTGTCTAATATTTCAATAATTGTAATTAACGTATTATAACTGAAAACATTTAGCCCGCACAAAAGAGACAGTTTCCTACCCTGACTCAGTCGTTTCTTAGTTTTGTTTTTACTTTTTAGAGATCACAACTTTCAACTAATTTTGAAACGGCGTGAGTAATTAAAATTGAAACATTATAACCATTCGTTATTTATTACATGTTTTTAATAAATATGTAAAGCCGTCGGCTTTTTATCATTAACAATGTCTATTTATGTATATTAAAAAACTCCAATTATCGGATATTTGTTTATGAAAAAAATAAATAAATATTTTATAGAGATACAGTTTGTAGCATCATAGACACTATAGTAAACTATATATAGGTGATTATTCAAAAACACGGTTAGTTCGTGGTCCTTTCTAAGAATTAAAGTTTTAGTTGAATTAACTTACCTTGTGTCTTACAAAAGTAATTAAAATCAGAACTCGTTTTGTTTTAGCGATAACATATTCGATTTATTAAATACTTAAAAAAAATTAAAATAATCTTTTGCATTTATAAAATATAGGTGTTATAGGAAATTAAGGATATAGTTAAAAAATCATAAATATAGGATTTTATTACCTAACGTCATAAAATATGTATATAATCCCATACAACTTCATTATTCTGATAGTATTTAAGTTTATATTGGTACTTGGATAGCGGCAGATAGCTCTATTTTTTTTTATATGTTTATTCTTTTTAAGCCTTATGGCAGGTTGTTAATAATAATTTAAAGGATTTTATTTTATTATAATGAACTATTTTTCTGGATTACATCAGCATAATGTATCCAAGATAAAAAATCTAAAAAATACACATAGTAAGCTATATTGATAGAGGTTTTCTAAGAGATGTAACGTACCTATAATTTAATTTTATATAATATTAGTTTTATATTTATACATTATGTGAAAATTGTTTAAACTATAAACCCATTTATCATACAAATTTATAGGAGATTTTCACGTCCATATATAATATTATTTTTTAAACATGTTTTATTATAGGTACCTCCTTGTACTCGTATATAATTAGAATTTATACATTTATATTTTTCTAATAAAAAATCGTTAGAAAAGAACAACCACAATAATTTTAACGAGTGTTTAATCTAACTTATAAAATATAAGTAATCTTTAAAAAAACGTATTTATAATATTTTTAAATTTTTAAATCTTTATAGTCGTTGAAACGTGCAGTATAACTATTACATAGTCGTAGAGTTTATACCACGAATTAACATTATAATATTTAAAATATCAACTAAAACTAGGCTAGTATTAATTATTCTGTATTTATTTATTTTTTATATTCTTTCAGGTGCTTATCACATTAATTGGCGTTTTGCTTGCAAACTCGGCTTCAGAACCTTTATTACCCACGGATTGGTCGAACGAAACGCATCGTCAGAGCAACAACAAAAGTCTGAACAAAAACTCTCAAGACTGGTAAATAATTTTTAATTTGCATGAATAAAATAGCAGTGGATAATTTGCACATTAATACTGCCAGTAACACTACGTTATGTGTTCCTATCAATTTATTTAAATATTATCATTTATTTTGGCTAGTCTTAATATTGATTTTATGATGTTATACTTGTTAATTATACTGCAGCTACGGTCGCAACAATCAGATCGGTAGATCGAAAAACGATGTCCTGTAAATCACCGATTAATAATATATATATTATTACCGTTTATTACCGTTTTATACTTAGCATAACCCGTATGGTACGTTATAAAGGTACCTACCTACTTGTGTATGCACTAAAATACCAGTAGAATAGTTTTGGTTCGTATTTTCTTTTTCTTCGAAAATAAAATGTTAATACGAGTATGTGTAATCCGCGTGAACCCATCATCTAAGGCGATTGAAATTGAGTTATACTTACTCACTCGACATAATATTATACCTATAGTTGTAGCGAGACGCAAATAATATACAATATAATTTAGTGGCGTTGAGTAAATCTCGAGATTTTTACGAGACAGTAAAGTGTTTTTAAATTGTGATTGCGTTCGTTGAACATTTGCATAAAGTCATTCAAAAAACTGTCTACGCTATAATTTTCCTGTTATTTTTTTTCCTCCGACGTGTTTATACTTTTGTTACCCCTTTGTCGTATAATCCGCGTCCGAGGATAACCACTATTTAGTTCTATAAGCGAGAATCGACTGTTTCATTAATAAATAATATACTTAGGTATTATGCCGTGTTGTACACAATATTGTCACTCGGACTGTATAGATGTTTATACGTCGTTTTATCGGGCCAGCTCATTATTTTAAATGTTGTAACCAACGGTTTTTTAGGTTAGGCGGAGAAGAAACATCTATAGAAGAAGAGGTAGCCGATCATCATTGGCTGTCTAGTCGTAAGAGCCAAGAATATCTAATTTCTGTCGGTGGTCAGGAAGACTGTTGTCCGTCACAGATGGAAATGATCGAACCGAACGGCGGAAGTAACCCAGACGGGCTGTACGTTGAGCTTTTCAGGTAAATACATTATGATGCATAATGTCTGCAACTTTAGACTCGTACAACATTATACTACGTATGTTAATAAGAAAAATACATTGTGCTTTCATTAAACTATAAGTGCGAAGATAAAATAAAGATAAGAGAAACTCGAGAATTAATCACTGGTCTCGTCACTAATATTAAACATACATAAGTCGAGTTATATAAATATAATATATATAATATATATAAAAAAAAAAAAAAAACATTTATAGAACCGGATGATGAAATTTTTCGCTTCGGTCCTTGAGATCGTGGTACTACTGAGAACAAACTATTTTACCACTGCGATACAGCCCCTATATGCGTGAACACGATATTATATCGGTTACAAAGTGTATTATTTGCTTTATACGTGTACTTTTATTAGCTTACTTTTTACTTGATACAAAATTATTACTTTAAGATAAAAATTTAAAAAAGGGATGGTATAACTTACATGTGCGCACAAGTGATTAACTATAATAATAATATTTTATAATATGGTATAAAAAATGTATATCTTCGTTTACATAGAGCGAATTAACCATAAATTAATGGTAATATGTTTTGAGAAATTCACACGCAAATGAAATGATATTATATCTATTATGAATGCACTATCAGTAGAAAAATCTTAATTTGTTTTCAGGAGACATCATCCAGATGAACTATCTAAGACTAAATCAGAAATTTCAGAAATTTCATACGATCGGTAATTACCGATATTTATATTTACATATATAAATATATATATATATAAAAAAAGCTTTAATTTTTTATTATTTTAAATTTACAATAAATATATTTAAAACTATTTTAATGCATTTTATCTTTATCCGATAATTATAAATTAGTTCAATTTACATACTTACTTTATATCAGAAAAGCATTTTATTTAGATTTTTTAATTTCGCATGATTTTTTTACAATAGATAATTTTTGAAAATGTAGATTTTATCTTATTAAATAATTTATTTTGTTATAATAATTAAAAAAAAATTTCATTTTATTGAAACATAATTAAATATTCTTTCAATAATTTAATTATTTAAAACAAAAACAAAAAACTTCATCTACTGCAGTTTTTATTTTAAATACTGGTCAGTTCTAAATCAGTGCTTACGTTTAAATGTATTATTTTTTTTATAATACTACGAATAAGATAATTGTAACGTAATTTGTGAAATTGCTGTTTTAATTAAAAAAAAAATAAAATTCACTTATTTCACGTAATTATGACATTTTTGTAACGTATAAATCGTATATTTTTTATTGATCATATTAAGGTAATTTAAAACTATAACTATGCAGTCAAATAAATATTTAGTTTTAAAGTATATCATCGAATTTAAAATTAAAAACTGTTTAGCCTCAAATTTTAATAAATAATAATTTGTTACGTTAAATTTTAAGTAAATTTTTATTCTTAATGCTTTTATTGAATTCCTACTTCTTAATTCAGTTTAATCCAGTTATTTTTATAATTATTTTTTTTACTATCTTTGGAATTGAAACAAACATTGATTTTTAAATTTTTTTTTTTATTTGTATTTGAAATCATTTAAATCTATAGTTTTTTCGATTACATAATAATTAAGAATACTTTTCAAGTGTATTCAGCGTATAATTTAAAAAAATTATAAATACTTTTATATATAATCTATAAATACCTATTTTTTATTTCAATTTAAGTTTTATAATGAAATAGTTGTATCTAAATAATATATATATATATTATTAATAATAATTATTAAATTAATTAATTAATTTATTATAAATATATATTTTTATTTTATAATAATCATAAATGGATACTTATTTAAAAGTATTTAAAATAAATAGTTAAATACCTATTTACAATACATATATATTTAAAAATATTGGATTCGGGTTAACTATACGTAGTTAACTTTTCTATAATCTGCTTATTTGATGAAATTAATATATATTTTTAAAACTATTATACAATTTTATTTTTAAAACGAAACTTAAAATAGTCAAGTACGAACTTATTGGTTACTAAAACACTAAAACGCTACGGTAAAATGATCAAATGTACTTAGTATCTCAAAAGAATAATATATAGAAAAATAATTTAAAAACACTTAATTCGTCAAAAAGTATTTAAATATGAGTATTTTAATACTTAACAAGATTATTGACTGATTATCTTTGTAGTGCTCTTAACATTTTTTTATTTTTCGATGAAAATGCACTTATTTAGTTTTTACTTCTTTAAATTATTATACATGGCACGGTATAATGGCTGATTAAGAAACGTATTGTTCAATCATATTTTAAAACATGCACACTGTATATTATTAAATACTACTATATTTAGTAGATTGCATGTTATTTTGTATTGCATTCTAATATAATTATAGTATAAATGTATAATTAATAATTATTATCTATTAGTATTTATCCAATAGGTTTACGATTAAAATTTTATATTTTTGAAAATAAATATATTACTGTAGCTACTGCTATAATATATGCATGTTAATATTTGTATAGATACAAAACAGCGTTTAAAATCGATTAACATAAACATCATATATACTTGATAAACTTTTATGTATATTTCTGTTATATAAGAAAAATGCATTTTCATCGTATACATTATTATAGTTTAATAAAATAAAAAAGTATTATAAAGCTATAGGTATAGCATATAGAATAAACAAACTGTGGATTTTATTTATTTTTTCGTGTTTTTTAAACTATTTCTTAGTTATTGCGATATTCTCCGAACTGATAAGCAATCATTGCTTGTTAAAATAAAATAAAAACTAACATAATATATAGGCAGGTATAAAATTATACCATATTACTATTTCACATAATTATTATATAGATTCAAGGAACGTCACCTCTTAAGTACCTATACGAGCGGCTGATACCACGCGCGTAATTAGTTATCTACAAATTTATTTTGGACGCAATGAATGCATTTAATACAATATTATATGCACGCGATAAGTTTATAATGGTATACAATATAGCTAATGTAATACAATATATTATACGTTGGGAAGAGAAAAACTAAAAACATGGGAAAAAGAAATCGAAATATTTTAAACCGAAAACCGCAAGCGTCTCGTCATTTACATATTTACATAGGTTACAGGCCCGGTTTATGACATAAATATTATAAGTTTTACCTATAGAACCTTAATTGACCATAGATTTAAATGTTTTTTTTGTATTAAAATATTAGATAAAAATATTTTATTTTTTTATTTTTATTATATTTTAATTTGTAAATGAATTTATGGTAAGTACTTTAATAGATTATGGATATCCACAGTTAAAACTGAGTAGTTTTTCGTACTATTGATTTAAATTATATGTCAGTCGGACTACGATTTTAAATGTATACACTTATTTAAAATAAAATAAATTCTATATACCTATAGAGCTTCTTTTAATTTTTTTTTTTTTTTTGGGGGGGGGGAGGCGTTAAACATAATAATATGTTTTACATTAAGTTATAAATCTAGTATAGTTATTATATTACTTCCTATGAATAGTAGAATCATGATACATTTTTCGTTATATTGACTGAAAAATAATAAAATTTGTAAGTATACGATACATGTAACGTATTTATAAACAAAAATATTAGAAAAATATATTTACAAATTATGTATCAAGGAAATAAATAGTAGCTTACTATTGGCACCATAAGTCTTAACCCGAAACTGAGGTATGGGTTTTAACTTTTAACCAAAGTGGACAAGTTAATCAAAATAATTAACTCAAATTAAGTGAACATAAGTTGACTAAATTTTTAACTAACATAAGAAATACATTTAATTTACTAAGCTTAACCTGAATACGGAAATTATATTAACTGTATTAAACTTAAAAAAGTTATACTACTTTTTAATTTCTACGTGGATTGCACAAAGTATTCTCAATTTTGTACATATCTATACATAACAGTATTTGATCAAGAACCATTACAGAAATTACAGTATATGTATTCTTTGAGAATTTTATTATTTTTAAATTATTTATATAACAATTAATTTAGAAAATAGTTAATTTAAAAAAAAAATCATAAAAATTAAAAATTTTAAATATCAACTCAATGGATTATTTTTAAAATATCAAATTAAAAAAAAAAAAACTTTGTTATTTTAATATTAAATTATGAAACTAGGTATATAAGTTCTTAAGAGAACGTCACATTACCTTCGCCATACTAATACATAACATACCAATATTTAGGTTCAGCAGTTCCAATTTTGAATTGTTAACGTAAAAATTAAAATATTTATATATCGGTTTATTATGCGTTAGTAAAGCAGAAACAACATACTCGTAATATGTAGTTATGATGTTCTCTCGAGTTAATTGTAAATCATCAAACTAGGTAATAATATTATAATAGTTTGATAAGACAACTTAAAGTTTTTAACTAGTATTAATGTCCACATTTGGTTTTTTTATCCGGAATATCAATATAATATCGTCTCGGCGATCCCAACAACGACGCGTGCGCGTATATTATGTATTTATAGTTACGTCCGTCGAACCGTTCCGGTTCTCCGATATAGGTACGTCCTCTACACGGTCGACAGCATAACGCGCGCGTAAGCCGTAGTCATCAGCTGCCTTGCTCATTATCGTTTAATTTTTTTTCCTCTGGTCACCACGATATATACGCGAGTTGTCTGGCCATTCAACAACGTCTGACCGGAAAACACGTTAAATGCACGCGCACACACATAATATTATTATAGGTGGGTACCCGCTTAGGGACGGGTTTGAATATCGATAATGTTTACAGCACACACACATACATATATTAACATACATATTATGGGCCAGTAAAATACACATAAATAACACATACGGACGGAGTGTTTAAATATAATTTTAAACGCGTGCCGTTTAAATGCTGCCAGCTAATTTCGCATTATTATTATCACTATTATATATTGGTAGTTATTATAGATACGTATCGCGGTAATACTATTATTATA